TTGTGTTAAGCTAGCACTAAGTCCCTCCCCCATCCACCTTTATTCTTTTCTTTACAATAAGGCTTTCAAATAAGTCATGGCTGTACGGCAGTGAAGCATTGGTGTTGAGCACTGATGTCATGCTGTCGTTGATGATGATGATGATGATTTTGACACAAAAGCTTCGTCAGACCAAACGATTTGGTTACGAGCTTGGTCGAGATCTAAGGAGAACCAATCAGCTAAGTCAAGCTAAATCTGTGTTAGGTAACGACCAAGGAATTTCGTGTTTTAGGGTTTAGGGTCACCAAATGATAAGTCGATGGGAAAAACTACATGGATTTGGGTCCAGTCTAGGATCTAGCGCTTCCAGTTCGAATATCCTTCTTGGACGTCATTTGCACTTTTCCTCCTACGGATCGTTACCAAACTTCTCCGAAAAAAGATGGCTACCCAGTCGGTTCGAAGCGTTTTTCAACTGATAGAACATACTGATCAAGTGTTTGGCTGGCTAGTGAAGAAGGGCATGCTGAAATCACTTTCATCAGGTAGAGCGGTACTTGAGCTTCGATTTAAACGGAAAGCAAAAACAATTTCAACTACGAAGATAAAATCAGTCACACCTCCAGGTATGTTCTGTGGCTCACGCTACGTGTATATCACAAAGGGTTGATAATGATGAGATAGTCACCCGTTTATTTTACGAATGTCCTACGTAATTTGAGAAAATTCCTCCGAATCGGACTCTTTCATCACACTATTCCAATTTAATCTGGATTGCCTCGATGAATACTAGCATCCGCGGTGTTTAATTGTGCACCACAACAGTGAATGGTTGCCGTGAGTCAACGGAATAGCCTTGCAATCAATGATGCTGGGCTTCGGAATCTGGCCTGACCACTAGCTCGTCAGGTATTTTGGGATATCTTCTGCGACTCTTCGAGGGAGAGAGAGAGAGAGACCTGTTCTACGGATGTAAGCGTCACTGCAACTGCAGGCGCAGAGAACGTATGAGAGATGTCAATGTTTAACCATCAGTGTCACCGGGTCTGGTGGGAACATCGGATTAGTAATGCTGAGGTACGCCAAATGGTCCTAGGAAGAAGGGAAACTCCCACGACTGATGAATTACTCACGCTTCATAGGTTACGTCGGTTAGGACATGTATTCCGCGTGCCAGAAGACCGTCTGCCTCACAGAGCTCTTTTCGCCCAGCCCATTGCTGAGTGGAAGCGACCGAGAGGTATGACCTGGAAACTTGGAGGCACTTTAATTTCAGACAAATGGTCTTTAGATTCCCCTGAAATGACTAGGTGGAAAATATTACCGAGACAACTTGAGAAGAAAATGCAAGTGGTCAAAATGGAAACAAACTGTACTTCGACCGGGCGAATGAGAACTTCCTCCTGAAGTTGAACCCCAAATCCCTGCTCCCTCTTTGTGGTTGTCTAGTAGCGTTGTTTACCTAGCGAGTTTCACCAAGAAAATAATGAATCGTGTTATATTCTAGAAGCTTAATTTTGGACATTTCTGACCTGGAAGATACTGCGAAACCTTATTTTTAACTATGCAAAATAAAATTCGTTTTTGTCTAGTCCGACCGAACTATCCAGCAACTCGGTTGTCAATCCTTGTATCAACTTCTAAATGGAAGTCAGTGGGGTGAACCTTCCCCATCAAAGTCGAGACGTTCAGATCCATTGCATCAGGTTCGAACTGTGCCCTAAAATGAGGCTAAGAGCTTGAAAAACAAATTCTAATGTATTAAACCTGACCCAATCTTATCAATGTGTGCGTGTGAGGTGGCTTTTATTTCTGCCCAATCAGGCACGGCGCTTAGCGTGGTAACCTTGAAGCAACGAAAACCCCGAACGCCACAGCCTCACGTGCCATGGACCCGACAGGCCAGGCCTGTGTTCAGTCGCCGTTGTAACCACCCAAGTCGACAAAACGCTCAATAACGGGTTTACGGGTGACAGCAGTTACAGCTGGATTTAAATGGAGATTATAAGAACGGCTTGGTCCCTTCATCTGCCCTTGACGAACAAGGTCTGCAGTGCACAATTTGGGAACGATAACGAAGACTTTATTTCGACAGCCCGTTCGTAGACATGGGCACAAACACCGAACTATCGCTACGCCCCCTAACAACGCAATGATGATTGGTGAAACGTTTGCAATCAAATTGTCCAGCTCAGCGAACAAACCACTGACCAGACACCTTGACTCTGATTCAGTCGTCGGATTGGTCCTTCCTAGTCTCCAGAAGAGTCTAAGCCTCATTATCGCGTTGACGAAACACGGTAGGATAGATCTGGTCACTCCGATATAGGTGGGAATAAGTCGGCCAATCGTGACAGGCACTGGGACCGATTAGGAACACCACAATGTTCTCAAAAATGACCTTAAGTAGGCTTCTAGAAGTGCTTTGTCCCACTATCAACGTAAAACGTCGTGGACCCCAAAATATGCTTCTATACTGAAGGTATAGCGACTAGGTAGCAGCAACGAATCATCAGTGATGAATACTGGTATTATACTGTTGATATGTGAAAGACAAGTAGCAGAGGGTGAGAACGACAGTAAAGAGTAGCACAACGAATCGTTGATCTATGCTTACCAGAGGCATTATGATAAACTGACAGCAAAATCCAATCGCCGGACCAATAGGTCTTCGGAAGTAGGCCTTTAACAGCCCCGGATCTAATTCACAGCCCATTGTGAAAGTAAAAATCGTAACCATACTGACCACCACGATACGAAACACAAGTTGCACAACACCTTGGCCACGCAGCACAATGACTGGGAAACCGAGAAGCTCGAATCTCCAAGGTGTGTTTAAAAGGCTATCAAAGTAATGTTGTGTGGTCCAGCTGGAAGAGTTGAGCACGAATGCCTTAGGTTCAGTGAAGCCCAAGTTTTTCGCCTCACGGACCCAAAACCGTAAATATGATAATCCAATCTGTTTTGGAACGACATCGATGAAAATCGACAGGGAGAGATTATTTGCCGGAGGAAGCCAGTGCCATGATTGATTTTGTAACTGGGCTGCTTGCATAGAATCCAAATCATAAGATAGAGCCAAAGGTATTATACTTGTGTACACCACACGAACTTCGACATGGCGCGATGGGAGATCGTCAGTTAGGCGCAGATCATCACGTGCAATTTGTAGCTGAAGCAATGAGTCGTTTGTTGGATTACTCAGTTGCTTATAATAACTTGAGTTTTCATCCGTCTTGGCCAGATTCAATTCGAATCTCTTCCTATCATTAATAATTTGGCCATCGTCTTTCAAGCCGATTTCCAGAACGCGCGGTTCGTCAGCGGATGGTATGGCCAGGGTCGCTTGTAAAGACCCAAGAATGCAAAGCCAAGCCCACCGAATCGACATGACGGAGAGGGGCGGCTTGCTCCAGGCGGATCTATCCTAGCGTGAATATAAACACGCTGCCGGGCGTGTCACATCGCTCATGTGGCCTTCACACGCAAGGCCGCGTATATGCGCCGTGGCCTGTCTCAGATGCGTGTCTGTATCTCCATTAATTTTAGCCAATAGCGCAGCTGACTTTCTGCATCTGCCCTTGATCACCATTGGTTGGAGGCAATAGGGTTGACCTGGTCGCACGGCCGCGACCACGCTGCGGAACGGCTGTCGGCAGGCTGTTCGGTCGCGCACCCGAAACTAGGACGCGTTCTGACGCGTCCCGGGAGCGCCGCGACCACAGCATCCATAAAGCCGGGGCGTGTGCCAAATATTGAGGTGCACTCTGCTGCCCTTTTTAGCTGTGCTTACTGGATACTAACCGGATATTAAATCCGGTGTGACACGATGAATGACTTAGTGTATGGCGTTGTCTATTGCTTGTCCATTTTCAGTTTGTTGGATGCACTTTGATTCTCGTCGCACGACCCACCTGATCAGCGGAACAGCAGTAAACGATCTGTTGGGTCGCCTCCTAGCTGCATTCATTCGGGCCGCAACGAAGTTATGTGGGAACAGCAAAAGAGCAAGAAAACTTGTTTTCCTTGAATCCTAGCGTTGTGATGGGTAACCTATCGAACGGTCAGATGGACTTAATACTGTACAACTTCTTGTCAAGCTCGGAGAGTGTGAAATGCTTGCACACTGAAGGGTAAAATTTACGGCTATCCAGATAAGTGAATATAGAGCCACGTCTTTTAAGTGTTCCCTAACGTCTAAAGGGGAGTCGTTTCCGTATTTTCTATTCAGAGGAGACATCCAATCATCGCTAAAAGGATTTGCGCTTCTGACCCCAGTTTCATCTACATTTCTCGTAAAGTTCGCTGAGAGCTCGAGTTAAATTTAATTACTCAGCTACTCAACTATTTCGTGATATACCTGCCCTGTAAATGTCACTCTTGCGTCATTGACGGCCTCCAGCTGTCTGTTCCGTTGCCCGGGTGGACATTGTGAGTGTGGTCGTCCGACTGAGAATCAACAAATGAGGTTGATAACCCAATAACAAGATTTTTAGGTAAGGTTAGGTTTACTAGAAGATTTCAAATCACATTGTGACTCAGACCTATGCCTGGCTCTAAGAGCAGCAGGCTACTTCTGAGTTGAGAAATTTACAGTTCATGGTTCGTTTGCAATTTGAGACTTGGTTGAGATTAAATTTAGGGGAAAAAGTCGGTACCTTCGGTGACAATCTGTCCCACCAACCAGTCAATCACAAATATGGCATTGGTAAAACCGCTCAATCCTACTCGATTCATAAGGGGCTCAAGAACGCCATGCGAAACCAACAACCCCCAGGAAAAAGCATATCACAATTAACAAAGAGGCCATTATAGATACACCTGCCTTCGAAGAGTCTCATTGGATCCTCAGTGGAACAGCTTCACAAAAGAATAGTTGGGTTGCCAAATTAAATACTCCGTCTTACATGCCGTCAGTTCGGAAAAGAATTCTAAGAGCATATCATCGGCTCACTCCCTCGATTGGTGTTTAACCCAGTGTATCTGTCTCGCGAGTTTCATCGATTGTACGACCTGGTGTTTGTCAAAAATAACCAATGAGGGCCGTTCAAACTATTTCGGGGAGAAAACAGAAACGTCCACTAATTGATGCTGCTAATATTAATGAAAATGATAGCGAAAAATAAGTTTCACTCAGGTTCTTCAACATAAGGCAGCAATAAACTTCGTGTAGGAGGGCAATAAAAAATCTCTTTTAAAAAGCCTTCTACAAAAGAAATTTTTCGTATTCTTGGGCCGTAATCTTATCAGTGTTTGACAGACATCAAACTACAAATATCAACTCCATTCAAATTGGATGCGCACTCTGTTTGCTGCAGAACACGCGGTGCACTTTGTCTAAAGATGAAAACAGAATGAAAAATCGGTACTTGTGGATGGGTTTTAGGCACGAAAAACTGTTCTCAACCAGGAGATTTTCACAGATGACGTTAGATAAAAGGCGTGCGTTCGTTTTCCGATACTGTGCCAGTGTAAAGCGTTCTTTTTAGATGGGTATCAGCAGGGCTTTTTTTAGATGACCGGAATCTCTTTGTGTGAGTTGTAGCCCTATTTATTAGTATAATTACTATCGTTATCACTGATTACTACTTGAGTTGTTTCATCCAGTGAACAAATTTTATACCTGAAAACAATTCAGTATTCTAAAGTGTCCATTGTCTACCAGGTTTTAAAGTTACTCCTGCGCCCAGTGAATGAAGCTTCGTTCCTCTTATTTGGAGCGAGAAAGAGTGTTTTGTGTTGTCAATATGCAAGGCATAGTGGGTACTGCAGTAAATGAGGATTAGCAGTACCTTAATTTTTCTAAGTTTGATTCGGTTTGTGAGCGGCAGACTGTCTAGCAACGGTACAGGTTGGTTAGTTAGGTAGTTTCACCTTTCAATACGAGACCAAAAGATCACAGATTTCTTTTTTGGAAATTCCCTTGGTGCCAATGTGAGTTGATGGCCATAACACAAATCAGAAGGTGTATGGACTAAAAAAAGTTTTTAGTATGGTTGACAGTGGTGGGTTGCAACACGTATAAAAATAAATACAATGCGAAAATGGGAGCAAGTCAGAAAAAGGAATTTATCGTCTGTGAGAGTTCCTTGGTGAAAGTCCGGACGGCGGGAACGTGTTTTTCTCCGCAGTGCGACTGCTACACGTGTTCCATAATTGTCCGTGGACTTGTGGAGAGGTTGACTTCCTGCTCCCCGCGCGCGCGCGAGTCTGTGTGCTGACTGTGTTCGGTTTCCCTATATGTAGGTCCGTTTGCGTGTACGTGGGTGTCAGCACGCTCACTAGACGGTACCGACAATCGATGTCCGATGAGTCACCTTAATGTGACGTGGTTTGTGAGTATGAAAAAAGACAAGTCTCGTGACCCAGTGAACGATTGTGAGCTGAACAGTCAAGTATGTGGGTAACTAGGTAGCCACAACTGCAACCAGGTTTAGTGCCAGTTTTTTTAATCATAATTATGCAACAATTCTAACAAAAAACCCCGAATGGTATAGACAAAACATCTCTGTCTTTGCGTTTTTAGACCCGATCCCTAGATCCGCAGACAGGACATTGGTACGGCTTCGTGCTCTATCAGTCCTATTCCACTACTTTCTGAAAGTTTGATTCGAATCCTAATGTCGCAGAAGTTTTACACATGGCTCAGTGTGCTCTCCACAAAGTTGTCCACTGTAAACTATAGGCTAAGCACTTGTTTGAATCAGTTAGCGTCCCACACAAGGATCGAAGAGACTGGTAGCTTTGGTTGATCGAGCGGGTTATCGATCGATTAGCCGAGAACGACTGCCACGCTAAAAGCAAGCCAGTAATTTGTCTTTCATCCTCAAAGACCGAAGCTGGAGATATTGTAGTACTGTTTGACCTTTACTGGAAATTATCAGCGGTCCAAAATATACTAAGCGCCTCAGAGATTCGAACTTGCGAGCCATCAACCAGCAGGTGAAGAAAAATCTATCCCACCAACAGATCGATCTAAGTCACTGAAGGCATATAGGTTGACGAACATTTGTTTGTAACAATAATAAGTTGTTGATTAAAGCTAATACTGATGCTCGACAGAGAAAGTGTGTGTGTGTGTGTGTGAGAGAGAGAGAGAGAGAGAGGTCATGACAAGGCGAGTTCAACTGTATGGTGAAAGGCTCGTCTCGGAAACATCGTACAGTCACACGACTTGATATAAACCGTTTACTTACAAGGCCGAAGCGGGATTGAATCGATTTTAGTTTTGAAAATGACTCGAATGCTTCACTAGGTTTCTGGGGCGTGATTTTTGTATCACAATTGCCATCAGGTCTCACTATTCATTGACTTCACAAACTGAGTGACAAGTTTTCCCCGCATCCAGTTCATCCTGCAGTATAACCGCATGGGATGGAATATACAAACAAATTTTGAGCGCCCAGAGTTATTCAACCTGAAGGATGATAACTGCCGACTTGTCAGCCAAGAGTAAGCGGCAATGGCAGAGAAATTATGGCATTCCAATGGCCCAGAGGGGATCTACCTGTGTTACGTGAGACAGTGGTATCTAGGAGACCGTCTTCAACGAGGGCATTTAAAAAAAACTAATCTCCGTGTATTGTGCTGACCTCAGAGGCTGTGTGAAAGTAAGCTTCTGGTTGGGGACCAGTTCTGTTAGGAGTGACCATTGCTTCCCGTCCCATCTTAGAAAATTGCTGGAACTGGCAAGTAAAACCACAAAGCTGACAGAAACCGAAAGTCCCTTTAGAGAAGTTAAAGCTGAGAATGCACGGCATTCTGTGCGGAAACAAGTTCGGATACTAGGAGCTTCCGTGAAATGTGAAGAGCACTCGAAATTTTGGACAATTAACTCAGCTACTCTGTCCCTGTGCTGGACCGCATTCACCAAAAGTTCGTCATTTCTTTAGAATCTCGGGTCACTCTGGTTACATTTTACGAGGTATAACGCCACTCTGCAAACTGAACTCCAGCTGACGCTCAGCATACCTATTCTACCATGGAAGCCTGGATTTGAACTCCGGACACAAGACGTGCGAGGCATGCATGTTAAGACTACTCGACCAGCGCGCCCCAGACACATCTGAATTCTCACGTCGGATGGTATTCACGCCTGTATGATGTGATTGGTTAGTCGGGCGCCTCGAACGACAGCTTTCTTGGGTCGACTAGGATATCGAAAAGTAAAGGATACATGAGACCGATTGTGTGCAACTCACAAATATGTGTCCAATCTGCAGATCAAGGGTCGGGGGCGAGATGTCTGTGACATCTCACTTGGTCAGTCACAATGCGTCTAACTCACTGGCTGTTGATGGCTGTCCTTCCGAGCCTTATCGGAAGTGATGGAGATAGCAAACGAGAGTGGTGTGAATGCAAACACTACATATCCCGCAAGCATCGAAAACAAAATGAAAAAACTGTCCAGCGGGTTTCCAGCGTCTGCGGCGATACGTGACTGGGAAGTTCTGACAGGCGGGTCAGTCGATCGTCACAACCAGGTAT